CTCCCCCTCAGGCTCCTGGAGACCCTCCTTGTCACCCCCCCAGACACCAAACCCCCCGATTTGGGTCATTTTGGGTCATTTTGGGTCACTTTGACTCCCCCTCAGGCTCCTGGAGACCCTCCTTGTCACCCCCCCAGACACCAAACCCCAAAATTTGGACCATTTTGGGCCATTTTGCGTCACTTTGACTCATCCTCAGGCTCCTGGAGACCCTCCGTGCCGACCCCCGCGGGTCCCCCCCGGCCGTGCCCAGCTCCCAGAGCGCCGTTCTGGGCTCCAAACCCGACTACTCCCGCCTGCTGCTGGACCAGGGCCCCGCGCTGCGCTGCGTGGAGCTCGTGGTGAGCCCATCCCCGATTTCCCGGGGCGCTTTGGGTCAGTTTGTGTCGTTTTCGGCTCATTTTGGGGCGGTTTTTCCGCAGCTGGACGAGCTGTGCCAGGCTGGGGGGCTCCTGACGGCCTTCGGCGAGGAGAGCCGGTGCTGCCTGAGGGGAGTCTCGGAGCGCCTCGGTAAGAGGGACCCCCGGGGTGGGCGGGGGGGGGGGGGTTAGCGTGTTTTGGGTTTTTTTTTTTGATGTTTCTGTTTGTTTGTTTTTTTTTTTGATGGGGATTTCCCGCCCCGTTCCAGGCTCCAGGACCTTCCGGCAGCTGGAGAGCTCGCCGGTGTGCAGGCTGCTGGAGGGCTGAGGGGGGACCGCGGGGGTCGCGCTGTAATAAAGGTGCTGCCGGGAATAAAAGTTGGGGGGAACTCCGAAACCCCTTCCCGGTGTCCCCTCAGGTGTCCCCTCAGGTGTCCCCTCCCGGTGCTATTCACTTCCGCATTTGGGTGGGGTTTTGCTCAATCCTTATTGTTCCGGGGTCCTGTCACTCATCGCCCTCAGCCAATCGCAGCGCGCCGGTGGCGGGTGGGTGGGACTTGGCCGCTCCGGTGGGGACGGGGCGCGGTGGCGGCTGCGGCGGCTCCGTCGCCGCTCACCGGGGTGGGCTCGGCCCCCGCCCCGCCGGCAGGTTGAGGGGCCGCGGTGGTCGCGCTGTCGGTGGTGCCGTTAATAAAGTCGGGGGAGACCCCTCTGTCCCCTCCGGTGATTTCGACTCCCGCGCTTCCGCGTTTGTGGCTTTCTCTCCTCCTATTGGACAGCCCGCCTGTCAATCACACCCCTCGCCCAATCGCCGGAGCCACTCCTCCGCCTTTAGCCAATCGCAGCGCGCCGGTGCTGGGTGGGCGTGTCCCCGTCGCTCCGGTGCCGCGGACGGGCCGCGATGGCGGCGGCGGCGGCGGCTCCGTCTCCCCTCACCGGGGTGGGCTGGGCGGCCGGGCCCGAGGCCGTCCCGCCGGGCTGGACCGCGGTACGGGGGGCACGGCGAGGGGAGGGGAAGGGATGGCGGCCTCACGGAGCCCGTCCCGGTGCCGGTACCGGTGTCGGTGACGCTCCCCGTGCCCGCAGATCACGGTGACGGCGGAGGGCGCGCCCGCCGCGGTGGGTAAAGGCTTCGGGCACCGCGGCGGAGGGTGGTACCTGTGCGTGCGCTCCGCGGCAGGGCAGGTAACGGGGGGCACCGGCACCGGGGGCTCGTCCCGGTGGCTCCCGGGGGAGGCACCGGGACCGGGACCGGAGGGGAAAGTTTAGTGCCCGGTGCCCATTCCGGTTCCCGGTGCCCATCCCAGTCCCCGGTACCCCCTTCCCAGTTCCCATCTCAGTCCCCGGTGCCCATCCCGGTGCCCAGTTCCTTTCCCGGTTCCTGGTGCCCATCCCAGTCCCCGGTACCCCCTTCCCAGTTCCCATCCCAGTTCCCAGTTCCCATACTGGTTCCCGGTTCCCATCCTGGTTCCCGGTTCCCATCCCAGTCCCCGGTACCCCCTTCCCAGTTCCCATCCCAGTTCCCAGTTC